CTCTAACAAGGATCTTTGCAATAACACTTGTGGTACAATTATGAATAAATAAACATGTGAATGTGACCAAGGAATGAGTTCACATTCTTAAACTGGAAAACAATAGAAGTGCAATGACTCCAGTAAACCAGAAATAACCCTGGCAATTCTAAAATGTGCAGATGAGTTTTAGGGTTATGGGGCAGCCTCCTTTAAACACACCTGCTGAGATTTGTCACAGCAGAAGAACCGGACATCATTCAGAGAGGAGTCGTCCAGAGCCCACTGGTATTCTTCCATCTTGGTCTCTATGCCACAGATTCCTCCATTGGTGCAGTCCTCACTCCAGAAGCCGTACTCACCCCAGGTCATGCCGGGTGCCTCCAGCGTGGGGTTGCTGCTGCAGCGGAACTTGATATTGTTAACTGTCGTGTCATCTCCCAGTATACCCTGATGAGGCTCCACGCGGATCTGGAAGGATGTCAGCACCCCGCTGGGACAGTACTGAGGATGGGACCACTCACCAAAACTGGACAGAAAGTTATTAAATGGAGGAACTTACATTTAGAAAAGCAAGTCCAAATTTTAAGAAATGTGTAATTTTATAAATCCCTAAACATTTGGATCACCAGTCTCCTATTGATCTTTCTAAACAATAAACTATTTATCTTTAAAACCCCAACACTGGCTTTTTGAAATAAAAGTAAGCACAATAAAAATGGGCTAAATTAACCCAACATTTTTCACATCCAAAGACAAGAATTAGTTAAATGCATCTTCCATTTAGACAATCACATTGAATTTTTATCTGCATTTTCCAGTCACAGTTCTAAACATCTAAATCATGGCTATATTTAATCTTATTATCTAAAATTGTTCTCATTAAAAAAATCAAAACTTGATAGGCCTATATGAAGCAATCATATAAACTTGTTTTATTAATGTTGTTAACGGTTCTGTTCAAATTCAAGAAAGATTTCTTCCTAGCTGTTCTGGACCTTCAACCTTATATAGAAATGCATTTAGCAAACATTTCCTGCTTTTTGAAGTACAATAAATATTCTGACTCCATTTCTCAATCACTCACTTATATACAGACCTGATGAACGACCACTGAAACTTTTTAGTCCCTTGCTTTGTAGTTCTTGTGGTCCTTGCTTCAAAGAGCTTTTTTACTTATCAAATTAAAGTGTTTTATCAAATATGGTTGATAATATAATTATTAAAATATAATATAATAATGCTGGAGTTCCTTTTCCATTTATATTATAAATAAAATGTGCTTCTTTTGGTTTCATTATGCCACTTTCATTTTTGTGCCCTGGTCACATTAAATCAAGTAGAGTTCTAAAGAAATTGCTCACTGTCCAGTGTGGGACTCTACGTAGTACAAGAAGCTGCGGCTCTCATCTTGGGAGCAGATGAGGCGGATCCCGTTCAGAGCAGTGTCATCTCCCCCGTACTGGTTGCTCTCCACCTGTGGAAACAGAAACCAGTTCCCAGAAAGAGGAACAGTGTATCCATGGTATTTGGTCGCAGCTGAAGAAATTATGTTTAGGTCAAAGCAGATTTTGGTTTGAATGAATATTTATGTTGTCTGGACACATTGGTTGTTGGTAAAAAGCTGAATTTTTCTTTTTCTGGAAGTACAAGGATCAATATCTTTTATAAAATGCTTGGTTTAGATTAAGCTGGACTTTCATATATTATATTGCCATTTTAATTTAATAATGAAAAAATCTTGTAAACGCTGTTTTGTTACCCTGACACTGAATCCAACAGCAAAAAAGTTGTCAGGACACATCTCTGGCCAGGTCCATTCTCCAAACTTCTCTCCATTGTTCACAGTCAGCACAGATCTGTACTGTCTGCTGTTAAAGGCCTTTCCTGCTCGCTCCAGAAAAACCTTCTCTTCACAGAACCCACAAGAGGCCACGACCAGCAGGACCGTGATGCTGAGCAGACTTGCCATGCCGACAGCAGAGAAGTCTGTGTTTTCACTCTGAAAGGCTAAATAACATAACAGCTAAAGGTTCAGACTGAAAGCTCTTAAAGGTTCCCTGTTGATTCTGGTATCAGCATGAATCATTTACAGAGAGACATTACAGAACAGTGTGGGAATAAACAGCTGGTGGTGAAGAAAGAGAAGACACGGGGACTCTATTATCCACCCTTCAGTTATATTTTACAGCTCAGCAGTGAATCTTAACACCAACAAAGAAACAAGGAAAACCACCTCCAGGGCTCCTTGACTTGCAGGCTGCACAAAACTTTGAGTTAACTTGTGAAACTGAAAATAAGAAAAAGAAATAAAGAATGATATGAAAATATCAAATTACATTTGGTTAGATGTTAAGCATCTGACTAATGAGTTATTCTGCTGCAGGTTTTTTAAAACATGCTCAGATGTTCAAACATTTCAAAGGTTTGGGAAAGGATTCAATCAGATTGCTTCCTTGTTGGATCCTAACAGTACTCTTGGTTTCCTTTACATGTTCTTCGTTGAGAACTTTCTTTTTTTAAATGACAAACTGACAACAGGATGGGGCATCAGGGAGCATTGTTTTCTAAAGGTCCTCAGCTTCCATCAATGGACTTTCTGAAAAGTCTCCCCTTAATATTGTGTTTGGGAGGAAGTGGCTTCTCTACTACACTGTATCCAGACACACACACCTACTGCTGCTAATGAACAGCTGGCTCTGCACTGGTGGCAGCATGATACTGGAGATGTCCTCAGGAGTAGATTGCACTGATCTTTTTTTTTTAGCTCCTTGCAAGCTTCTTTACAAAAAACCCTCTCATTTTGTAAATTTCTTAACCTAGAAAATAATCACGGCTACATGCTTTTCTTTGGGGTACCCATCAATGACTCAGGAAAGACATGTTATATGCTCAGAATGCAGACCCAGAATTCAGGCAAAACAGACAGCTAAATATTTAAAGGCGCTTATTTTAATACAAGAGCGGGCTGTGGATCCGCAATTTTAGCGACTAGGGCGTCTATGACTGGAGCTCTGTTGGTGAGAAACACAGATTAGTGACTGCGATATCAGACGGAGGAGGATTATGTACACAAAAGTCACTAGCCTGGTTTAACAGTTCAGTTCAACATCTAAAGAACGTGGATGGTTCTAGGTGGTCAGCTGAACAGAAGCAGTAGGTGCTGCCAGAGAGTTCCAGACGTGGAAGGCTGCAGAGCTGACAGGAGACCGTAGACAGGCAGGCAAAACTAACAAGACAGGGGGAAGCAGGCTCAGACGTCCAAAAGCAAAAAAGAGGTCAGGATCAGATAATCTCTTTATCAAAAGCTCAAAAATAATCTGCCACTGTTGACTGGGAAACAGGGAGCTTAAATTGGAAACCGGAACAGGTGGATTTGATGAGGAACAGGACATAGCTAGACAAGTGAAGGAAACGAGCAATCAAGCCAGCCATCAGCACTAAAATCATGACAAAACATAATTCTAAGGAAATCTGGAATTTCGTTATCATTCCTCTACAGAAAGTCCAAATCCATTTTAACAGCACACATTTTTACCAGTATGACTTGTAAGTAAATAAGTACATTGATCTTAATTCTAATGTTATTTCAGTCTGCTTCTATAAACTTTAGAATTAAATAACAAAGAAGTCGAAGAAAACACGCAGGCTGCATCTTTCCCTGAACATCAAGTTGTGCTTAAAAGTTTCCATTCCCTCCCATTAAAGAAAATGATAACACATTAGTAATTCAAAGAACACACAACTAAAAATGTTATGATAAATCAAAATGTACTAAATTATAAGTGAGTAAAATGTAGATTGTGATATATATATATATATATATATATTAATAATTCTAAAAAATTAACTCTGATACAAATTAAAATACCTTGCTCATGAACCTTGAACCACCATACCTGTCAACAGATGCAGAAGTCTGAATGTCCCCTGAACATTACAGAGAACACCTGTTACTCAATAAAATTGTAGATCAGGATCATCTTTAAGTTTGTTTGGTTCTTTTAATATATATATATATATATATATATATATATATATATATATATATGTATATATATTTAGATAAACTCTACTCTACTGGCATGGTCATCAAGAGGGGTGACTACTGCAGGTTAATAAGTTATTGCAACCTGCTAATTTTCCTTGAAGGCTAATCTTTTTAACCATTATAAATAAACTGAAATTGACTGCATTGCTTCATGTCTATGCTCCGTTTTTGTGCAAAAATACAAGTTGAAACATTCAAAAGCTGGATATGATCCAACATAACCTGCAATCATCTATGCAATGTTTTCATTTAAAGCTTTGTTGACATAAATGATAAAGCAGGAACCATGTCTTGTTCCAGTAAAGTTACCCGCAAAAACATCAGCTTGTCACTTTCTCACAAGCCAGATTATACAATCTGTAGGTCACAGCGAACATTGAGGTGAAGGCTTTTTTATAGATAAAAACAAAAAGCAAGCTTTGCCTATGATTAGTGCATTGTGGAGTTTAAGCTCTTTATTTCTTTGTTAAATTCAATTAAAATTCAATTAATGCAAAAGTTTAGGAATAAAGATTTAACAAATCCAATATATATATATATATATATTCCATTTCGCTTAATTAGATGTAGAAAAAAGTCAATAGAAAGCCTACTAAGGCAGGTTACACGCTGAGGAAGGTTTGATAGGCACCAACAAAGCCTTAGTGTTATATTTCATCAAGATGGTTTTCTGAAAGAAGAGCAGTTTCATGTTAGCGCTGCATACCATTAAAGAATCCCTAAGGGCAGCATCAATTTCTGAACTGTTCCAATCAGTGATGCTGAGGTTAGCCTCCCAAACAGAAGCTGAAACCTCTGTAAATATCTCCAAGAAACCATAAGGCTGCGATGAAGAAAACCAAATAATCTGCAAAATGCACTTTTATTTCACATACACTTTATCTATAATTATTTATTTTATTTAACAGAAAATTCATTGCATAAAAAAAAAAAAAAAATCCAAATAGCAGATGTGGAGCTGAAGGATCGGGTCGGAGCTTCAATGTTGGTTAGTTGGGTGAAGTAAAGAATCTACTTCCTAGTGTCTGTCCATCTCTGAAATGAAACCAAACAAAGTCAATGAGAACACTGAAAGAACCCTTCAGATCTAAACATCTTAAAATATATCAACCAACAAGCAAACCGATGGTTTGGGGGTTTTCCAATATCTTGTGGCCATTATACAAATTTTTATTTTTATTTATAGTTTTCTTTTTGTTAATAGATTCAACTTTAGATGTTTGACCCAGTAACTTTACGTGTAGCTGAGTAAGATTTGACTACGAGTATCAATACATTTACTCAAGTAGTACTGTTGAGTATTCCATCGACCACTGCTCATTTCCCACCTTAGTCCTAAACCTAACACCCACCCCAAGAAGGGATATTCTCCTCATGGGGAGCAATCATTGGTCACCACAAGTACCTTTAAGTCCCCAAAATGTAGCATATTTATGGGAAATTGACCACGCAATGTTGCAAAAACATGGCCACACATGCAAACAGCTACCACTCCCACAAAATTGCTTCTTTGAGTTTATTAAGCTGCTTCGGTCAAGCACAAAACATAGGTACAGACAAACATGGAGGCTGAGTGTTCCTGCTGCTCTGGGACAGGCAGTGGTTCCATCACTTTGACCTAGAAACCGTAACATGATTCAAACCTCAACCTGCCGATATAGCTTCACTTTGGGCTGCCTACATCTGCAGGCAGGCCACTTTCTCTGCAAGCTGTCAGCACTGTTTGTTTGGATGCTGAAGGTGGAAAGAAACTCAGGAGTTTCTGTCTGGGATCTGTTGTGTGTCTTTGTTAGATAAAGGTCTCTTTCTAGGGACAGAGCGGGTATAATCCATCTACAGCCGCAGTCTATTCCGTGCTAATTGAGATATATGACAAACTGTGCAGTGACATGTATATTTAGTTGTACAAATTTATAGTATATTCATGCATCACACATTTTAGAATTTCAGATTGTTTTGTACATGAGGCCTGTGGACTACTGAGGTCTTACTTGCTGCTGGAGGCGTTCCCCATGTGTTTGATTCTTCCACGCAGAGATCCAGGACTCGTGATTTTGTTTAAGTTGTTTATTTCTGGAGAGGTCAGTGGCTGAAAGAAACGACCTGTAAGGAATCAGATTAGAGCTTCAACTGGATGGTAACAACTGGAGCAAAAAAGACAATTAGTGACATGTTAAACCAACTGAACTCAACAGATCAAGTGATCTTACTGGAAGAGGATGCAGATGGGTTCTGGTCCGCTTCCATGGTGAGGATTTTTCTCCAGTAATCCTCGGGAAGGGATAGTAGGAAGCAGACAACCTGAGGACATTATCAATCATATGATCCAGTCTCACTAATGCTACAATCACAATGAACACCATTTGAGCAGCAAAGATGCTCCTGCGGCTTCAATTTTGATGCTTGTACTTATTAAGGTCAGACGTGCCTCAAAAGAATCTTCGATGCTCTGGAAGCGTGGCCACTAAAGTGTGTCCAGATGCATTTGATGCTTCTGTTGCTCTTGTGTTCAATGGAAGACAGGGGCTTTGCTATATTTGCTGTGATCAGCAGGTAAAAAGTAGTTTATATATGTTTTTAAGTGAGAAAGTCTACCTCAAAACTTCATCTTTGTAGTAAGTTCATCAAAATTATGATCCTGCCTTAAAATATTATTTCTCTGTCGGAGCCACACAGACCCCAACATCCCAGCGGTGCGCTGTCACTGGGAATCCCTAGCAGCAGCTGCCTCAGGCCAGGTCGCCTCTTAGGGGTTCCCCCCTATTGTTGGTGGCGAATGGAAGTAGATGTTAGCGTTTTTCAGGGATGTAGTAAAAACTGCAGGCACCAGAATAATAAAAGCAATTATATTTTGACAGGAGTTTCAACATTTTAAGTTAATCTAAGCATTAAAAAAAACATTTCAATGGTGTGATCATAGCTCTCTGCATCTGCCGCACGTCCCAATGCCAGCTTCTAGATCAGCTTCTCTGATTAGTTGTTCTGGTGCGTCTAGCAGCAAAAGTTAAATTTTTCCAACTCCAATGTTTGCTGCTTGTAAAGCGCGACTCTCGCCTAAGCTGCTCAGAATCACGGGGCGCAGCTTCAGCTGCTCTGATGACATTAAGATGCACTGCTCCTGCTGGTCGAGATGCTCTGCATGATATTTTTAATGCGTTTGATGTGCATCAGCCATAAAATTTAATTGTAAACCAGATGCTTCTGCTGCTCAAATCATGTGCGGTGTGAACATAGCCTGAGGGAACAGGCTCAAAACCAAGACTAATAGCAAAACAGACCTTTGGCTGGACGGCAGAATCTCTCAAAATGGTTGATGGAGATGGTTCAGGCATGCTGTGACCCACAATGGCAGGTCCAAACACTCTGCCTATGTTTTTTTTGTCCATCTGACAGTGAGGACTCCTCATCACCCTGATATGCAAGAACAGGATGGTTCAGTACATTTTAAATGACAGCAGCCTGATGAAGCTGAGTCCCAGATTCTGTCTTTAGAACCTCACATCAGCTGATGGTTCTTACTTGTGTAGGTGAATCATGATGAAAGCCAGGGTGTCTCTATTGACCTTTGGTAGCTCTGATATGGCCCGATACAGGACAGCAGAACCATTGTCCTCATCCATTTCTAGAGGACAAACAATTTCTTTCACTTGATCACTGAAGCCAATTAAGCCACAAGGAGGGACATTGTTCTACTACCTGAAGCTTCCATGAAGGTCTGATGTAGCCTGAAGGTGATTAATGGTTCCTTCAGTCTCCTCAAGAAGTCCTTCAAGAGCCCACATACTACATGGATGTCGTGGACTTTATGAAGCATTAGAGATGGTTTCCCCCGACGGATCTGCTCTCTAAGATCCCTCAAAGGACGTTCCCCTCCAGGAACCCGATACAGACCTTTCTAAGGATGGACATTATAGACAAACAGGCAGAAAAAAATAGCTAAGGTACTTCTATGGTGGATCAGGGTTGCCAGAGTAAAAGAACACACTGCACAAATTGGAAACCTTAATAAGTAATTTTCTGTTAAAATAAGTGTATTTTTATTAAATTGAGGAGGTAAGTGAGACACTTTGCCAATGTACCAAGACAATTTATATTTCAAATAAGAAAAAAACTATTGCATTGTCTTATTTCAGGTTAATGTTATCTAATCATTATTTTAGGAGCAAATATACTCATTTCATTGGCAAAACATCTTATTTACCCTCTTATTTACCTTCCAAATTAAGGAGAGATGAACAGTTCCTATCCCTCAACTACTGTGCTATCAACATTAAGAACACTATACCGAGTAGGAAAGAATTTAGAAAGCCTTCAGGTTCAATATCATTATGTAGCTGACACACTTATGAGTTCAATTTGCTGAATTGGGACTGCAACCTTTTGGAGAAGAGAGACCAAAATCGAATGGTACACAAATGTTACAAATGGCTGAAGCGCTCTCATATAAGACGGGCGAGACTCTGGAAAACAGGATTGCTGTGGCAGATTATAGACTATGACTCAGGTCAGAGAATGAAGGCCCTTTGGGAGAGAGATTTGGGTTTCCTTTTTAATGCAGATTGCTGGGCTTTACAATACAGTTCTACCTGGTACATGTGTAATGGAGGTCTGTGTGTGTGGTCTGAAAAGAAAGGCAGTAATATCAAATATCACAAAAATGCTTGGCACATTATTCAAAAATTAAATCAATAAACATTCAAAATAAGCAGCCATATTATTTCTAAGTTTAAACAGTAATATCACCAACTTATGTGGAAACTAATACTTCAACATAATGGCAAAGATGCCGTACTACACAATACCATGTTCATTACTCAAGTGAAACATTGATTAAAAAACCCCCCAGTGAATAAACAACTACATTAAATAATTAAAACACTTCTCATACTAATAAAAAGGTAAAATATACTGAATTTCAACACTGGCATTTCAGCCAATATACAATCAAATTATTGCATGCCTCAGAATTTAACTGCAGCACCAGCAATTTAAGGCAGATCTAAAATAATATCCTGGAATCATAAACAAATGATGCAAGTAAAGTAAATGGAAAACAATTCCTCAAGAACGCACACATGGGTAGTGAAACATAGTCTGTGCAACACCAGCACCACCCAGCCTGCTTACTAGAAGTTCTGAACTGCTGCTTTTTGTTTGGCTGAACACCTCCAGACAAGTTCAGTTGGCATTAATAAGCAAGCCAATAGGTGGTGCTGCTGAACCTCGACCCTGAGGGCTTTCTCACTCTTATAAACCCTAAAACATTTGAAAGCACAGAAAGCATCTTGGGTAAACTTATAGCTTCTAGCAGAAGCTAGGAATGTCAGAACATCCATATGTACATGAATTGATTCAAGGAATCATACTGCTTCCTGGTAACTAGCTATTTCCTAACTTCATATAGCATTTATTAGGGCGACTGTGGACACACTTCCTCAGTGGCTTAAGTGTCCTAACAGATTTGAGGTATTGGGATTGAGCCCAAATCTGGCGGGAAGGGTTAGTCTCACCTCTTGCAAGCCCCTTCTCTCAATCTCAGCCACGCAGTCTACGATGAGCTGAGGAATTTTGGGATGAGTCAATGGAGCAAAAGCCTCCAAGGAGTCCTAAACAGAGCAGAACATCGAACAGTCAGAGCTACAATCCTATTAGTTGGTTATGCTTGTGTTCTGATGCTGTTCCTCAGTCCAAGCCAGTGGCAGCTGGTGGAGTTTCCTCCAGGGAGGGCTATGAACTCAAAATAGATCTATACAAAAAACCAATCAAACGTATATTAAGTTATGGACCAGTATACTATTATGAATACCAACAACAAAAAACATTATAAAAAGAACTTTATAAAGTCAAAAACATAATTTCATGTACAGGTTTAATTTTTGTAAATAAAACTTGCCCTTCTGAGGCTTTTTGAAGGCAAATCTGTGTTTCGCATGCTCCAATATGGTGTCAAACCTAAAAAAACAGTAATGTACCGGTTTAATAATGGAGAAGCCAGCTTTATATTTTTTTAACTTATAAAATTCTCTTCTCAAATGTTTTCTTCTAACCCAGTTGTGTGCAATGGTCTTGATAGACCAAATATATGAACTTGTAGAAAAAAATTTACAGATTTATAAACCATTTTAGCCTTGATAAAAGTAGGCTACTTACTGGCGTCTTTGAGTTTAACTTTCTTCAGGCCTGGGATGAATAAAAAATTCCCTCTTCATAGTATGCTAGTCAGGGCAGATGCCGTTTTTGCCTCCAATAGAAAATTAGGTGACTCTTCATTGTCGATTGTTTTATTCAACCCTTATAAATGTTACATGTTTTTTCTAACGGTTTTTGTTTTCAGCTTCTAATCTAATAAGAATTGATATTGTACAGCTATTTTATTATTAGTAAGCAGTTACAGCAAAACTTGGTAGAAGAAAACGAGCGCATCCTTTCTGAGGCTGTCATTCTATTGGCTGGAAAGGTCGCTAGGTGACGATCTGACTCAAGTCTGAGAGCGAAAAAAACCCCACAAGCGAGTGCATCTCTGACTCCAGCCGAGACTGGTTTGCACGCGAGGAGAAGGAAGTAAATGAGAGGAGAAAATATCAGTGCAACGAGCATTAGATCTGGCTGCAGAAACAAAGACTTGATGGAGAAGAGAAGTTTTGAATGTTAGCATTACAAGTTTCGAGTGCAAGCATAGGACATCCTGCTGTAAAATAAATGTATGCTCTTGGTGTTTGGCAGGAATAATCTTCCATAGATTTCCCTAAGGTAAAACCAGGATCCTATCCCTTTCAGCCCAACAGGGACCTGGAGGTGAATTTGTTTCGTACATCTTACTAATGGTGTTTTAACAGTCAGACAAGCAAGAGGTACCATCTGAGCTCCACTTCCTATCCGAGCACTGGGGGATGAGCAGCCGTTTGGGAACTTCTGTTTGCATTCTGAATGAGCTACCAGCTGACAGTTCCTACACTTTACAGCCATTTTTCCAAAACGAATCCTCTTTCCACATGGAGCGCAGGTCTCTGGCCGGATCACCTGAAAGGACACCATCAGTTACTCAAAGAACATTAGATCCAGGGTCTCAAATTGGATCTGGTAAGAGCCGTGTACCGTTTTAGACACAAATACATGTCTTAAAGTATTCTGAGGTTCAACGGTGGGAAAGTCTCTTTCCTCCAGAGGAGCTTCAAGTTCCACCAACATGTCGTTGTTGGAACTCCAAAAAGAGGTTTGGTCTGAGGAGATGAGTAAAGGTTCAGTTGGACAAAAGCTGCTTTCCATCACTATTAAGAAACATATATGGTTAAGTCTGAAGCTCGTCTTCATTATTCTTCAATGCCTGTTTTGCAGATTCCATTTGGCTGCTGCAATACTGATGCGTTTCAGACATGCACTTCATGCCCCCAGACTGCCCTGCTTTATAGATATTATACCAGACCTCAATGTTATTACTGTAAAAGAAAAAAAAAAAAATCAAAAAATCCTGGGGAAAAAAAAAAACCGCCATCCGGAAGGAAGTTTCAGCACTGCATAGGGGTTAGGTATCTAGGGCTTAGAATTGGCTGTTGCCCTGGGGTGGAGGTGGGTCTGGCACCGACGTGTCAGCAGTTATCGTCCAGCCTGCCTTTGCTGCTGGCTGGTCGGCTCAGACTGTAGCTGTGGGGCTCCCTGTGAGCTTTTTCAATCCAGTTTAAAATCTTCTATCTAAGTAGGTTGTTCAGACGAGTCGAGGTCATTTTCAGTGGTACAGGTTCAAGGCCAGAAAATACCAAAACCGATTTTGCGTCCTGTTCAACAGAAAATCGTGTCGGACAAGGCTGTGGTGTTCAGTGCTCATTGAAAGTCAATGGGGATGGTCACCCGACACAATTTTATGCAAGGGGGCTGCGTAGGTCCGACTGAGATAGATCCCAGGTCTATTTCAGTCAGACTATGGAGCAATTCAGTGGCAATTTCATGGGTCTGACAGGCAGAGAGAGAGAGACGCAGTTACAAAGGAAAACACATTGACATTAGGGGAAGTTACAAAATAAAATCTGTTCATCACACGGGGAAATAATCCGTTTTGGAGTCGCACAGATCTATAGCTATAGTAAGTTAGACAGACTCGTGCCAAAACAATGAATGATACATTAAAAAAAAATAATACTTTACCAATGACAGGAGTTTAGAAGAATGGAAAAGGATAAAGTAGTGATCCTCTTGAGTCTCGCAAAAACATTGAGGCACAGAAAACACAGTTTATCGATCTCAAAAAAAAAAAAAAAAAAAACTTAAAGAAGAGAAACAAATTATATAACGAAAAAAATTATCCTCTATAAGGTTCACAAAAACAAAATAGCGAGAGGCAGACAAAGCAGGTAAGCTAGGTGAATCTCTCACTCAACTCTATAAAAAAAACTAAGAAAAAAAAAAAAACAAGAAAGAAAAACTTGGATAAACTTCCCTGATCTCTATTTGAGAATCACCTCTCTGCCTCAGTCAACATATAAACTGTCCTCCGGCGTTTATTGCTGCGTTTTCTTTTCTTTAGATGTAGATCTCATTGTTTTTTAATATATGAACATTCTCCATCTGTTATAGTTTAAGGGGCTGCACAGACTCATTATGTTGGACTTTGCTTTAAAGAATGTGCTTTTAAAAAAATAACTTTTCATAATCTGTCCAAGTCAAATGTGGGAATTGTTTAAATGCATTATAGCACAGAGACAGAAGTGAAAAAAATCTGCGCAGATCTGCTCACCCTACATATTTGGAGCCTCTCTATGCTGTCATTTTGAAATGGAGAAAAAAAATCGGATCGGATATTAAAAAGTCGTATGCAACCAGTGTATTCTGGCCTGTACTGTGGTTCCACACTCCATGTTCTGCTATATAATAGAGTCTAAATGCAGTTTAACTCCCCCAACCCAGTATGAGTCAGGTTAAAATAGAGGTTCTGGTAGATAAGTCACTTCCTAAATGTCTAAAAATTTCACTCAGCTGTAATAAGAAAACTCACCTCCTCCTTCTCTTCCCCCTCCTCCTACTGAGACGGCACACTCCTGGGTGATTGATCGAACTGCTTTATCAGGGGTCTCCTGTGTAAATTCCAGAACCATGTGGATCTGTTGCCCTGCATCAGGAGTTGTCACGGATGCCTTCACAATGGTTTCCACCTCCTGAGAGGAACACAGGCCTCAGATCAGTCAGAACCAGCAGTTTCCTGCTTAATATTTCTAAATATGAATGGGAATTGCCTTCAGTTTTCCTAAAGTAATCTACAATCCATCCCATCTCCTGCTTCCCAGTTCCCTCATTTCTGTTGACATTTATTTATTTATACAATATTTTAAGATCGTTGTTTATCTCCTATGAATGCTTTGGTGAGGATTTTTGATTTTTAGCACCAAACCTCGCCATGTCTCCACTAGTCCAGCTGAGAACTTAACTTTGTTAGCATGGTATTTGGGTCGTCATTATCAGTTTGAATGGAAGCTCTGCAGACCATAATATTACCCATAACTTATTAATCTCTCTGCTCTTTCTTCTTTCCTTTCTATAGCATGTCTTAGAATCAGGACTAATCTATGATTTATTCTAAGATCATCATCCGTCCCAAGAGGTGACTCTGTTTGTTTTAACAAAAATGTAGTTTCTGGTCTTTTGGTGTCAATGTTCTAACTTTATTTAGAAAAAACAAAACAACCATTTAGGTGTTCTCCTTACCTTCTCAACAGTATTTCTGTCCAGAAGCTCAGCAGAGACATTTCCACTTCTGCTACGCTTCCCAACGGGGCCACCAATCACTGGGCCCATGGAAGACCGCTTCACAGAACCAACAAGAAGCAACAACATTAAAGACAAGAGGCTTAGAGAAGCCAAGTTCATTATACTGATCAATCAGGGATCTGGTAAGTTAACATCATAAGAAGACGGATTGAAGACCAGGGGGAAAGGACGCATCCTTTCAATCAAGTGAACACAGAAAAACTGATGCTAGAAAGGATCAGAAAGTGTTCTGTCCAATCCATGTGAAGAATATAATTACTGTTATCTCCAAAAACCCACTTTAGACTCACCCTACGCTCTCTGGCTCGAGACCTCAGAGGTTTGATCAGAGTTGTGTTCAAGTCCTGAAACATGAAGAGAAATGTCCCCTCACTAACTTAGATGGACTGTCCTGCCAATATAAAGGTGTGGATCTTACCACATCGTCATCAGTGCAATCGTAGCTAATGTCGGAGTGAGACAGGAAGGACGACTCGTCAATCACTGACAACCTGCTGGAAGGCGACATTTAAACTGATCAATGACGGCTGAGACAGATGGACATTTTCTAGGTTCTTGACTCTATTATCCTGGAACTCTGAGTTGGGCATTATATCCCATCCATGTTAGAGTGTTCTTTGTGGCATAAACAGTGGTTCTACTTCCTGTTCATGATGTATGAATTAGGCTTGTCCCGATCCGATCCACATTTTTATTAAAACTTACAGTAATACTTGCACCTTTAACTGTTTATAGTTTTACTGTTCACTGTGGAATTTCAGATTGCTATT